CCGCTTATTGATATGCTTAAGTTCAGCGGGTAATCTCGGATGAAAGAGGTGAAATAAATGATATTGAGATAATAAATTCATTTCAAGAAAGCAGTGCGATCCCAAAGGGAACACGCTCTTCCATCCGTGCGGTACGGAATACCATACCGCGCAATGTGCGTTCAAAGATTGATGATTCACATCTGCAAGTCACAAAAAATATCGCGGTTCGCTGCGTTCTTCATCGATGTGAGAGCCAAGAGATCCGTTGTTGATAGTTATAATTTGATTGGATGATTCTTTAAAATAGTAATAATTCACAAAAGTAATGTGTATCAATAATGATCCTTCCGCAGGTTCACCTACGGAAACCTTGTTACGACTTTTACTTCCTCTAAATAATCAAGTTTGACCAAGTTTGGGTGTTCAAAGTGGGTTGCCCCACTAATCACTCCCTCCCAAGGTCTCACTAAACCATTCAATCGGTAGTAGCGACGGGCGGTGTGTACAAAGGGCAGGGACGTAATCAACGCAAGCTGATGACTTGCGCTTACTAGGAATTCCTCGTTGAAGAGCAATAATTGCAATGCTCTATCCCCAGCACGACGGAGTTTCACAAGATTACCTAGCCCTCTCGGGCTTGGTCAACTCGCTGGCTCCGTCAGTGTAGCGCGCGTGCGGCCCAGAACGTCTAAGGGCATCACAGACCTGTTATTGCCTCGAACTTCCATCTACTTGTAATAGATAGTCCCTCTAAGAAGCTAGCTACCTGCAATCGCAAGTAGAGCTATTTAGTAGGTCAAGGTCTCGTTCGTTATCGCAATTAAGCAGACAAATCACTCCACCAACTAAGAACGGCCATGCACCACCACCCACAAAATCAAGAAAGAGCTATCAATCTGTCAATCCTTATTGTGTCTGGACCTGGTGAGTTTCCCCGTGTTGAGTCAAATTAAGCCGCAGGCTCCACTCCTGGTGGTGCCCTTCCGTCAATTCCTTTAAGTTTCAGCCTTGCGACCATACTCCCCCCAGAACCTGATCACTTTGATTTCTCGTAGAGCGCGGATACCGTAAAAGCGGTACCCATTCTCAGTCGGCATAGTTTACGGTTAAGACTACGACGGTATCTGATCATCTTTGATCCCCTAACTTTCGTTCTTGATTAATGAATACATCCTTGGCGAATGCCTTCGCAGTAGTTAGTCTTGTGTAAATCCAAGAATTTCACCTCTGACAACACAATACTGACGCCCCCGACTGTCCCTATTAATCATTACGTGGGTTTGCAAGCCAACAAAATGGACCCTCGTCGTGTTATGTTATTCCATGCTAATATATTCAGGCGAAACCTGCGTTGAACACTCTAATTTTTTCAAAGTAACTGGAAGATTCCTTCCGTAGGAAGGATAAATAAATATCCCTCCGACATTCAACTACGAGCTTTTTAACTGCAACAACATTAATATACGCTATTGGAGCTGGAATTACCGCGGCTGCTGGCACCAGACTTGCCCTCCAATTGTTCCTCGTTAAGGTGTTTAAATTGTACTCATTCCAATTCCGAAACTCAAAGAGCTCCGGATCGTTATATATTGTCACTACCTCCCTGTGTCAGGATTGGGTAATTTGCGCGCCTGCTGCCTTCCTTGGATGTGGTAGCCGTTTCTCAGGCTCCCTCTCCGGAATAGAACCCTGATTCCCCGTTACCCGTTGTTACCATGGTAGGCCACGATCCTACCATCGACAGTTGATAGGGCAGAAATTTGAATGATACACCGAAGATCGGTTCGACAAGATATTATGAATCACCAATGTGTTGGTTTGTATCTAATATATACGCCAAAAGGCAGTCATGTATTAGTTCTGAAGTTATCACGGTTATCCATGTAAAAAACTATCAAATAAACGATAACTGATTTAATGAGCCGTTCGCAGTTTCACTGTATAATTGTTTATACTTAGACATGCATGGCTTAGTCTTTGAGACAAGCATATGACTACTGGCAGGATCAACCAGATAAGTATTGTTGATGTTTAAAGAGAGATCAACGAGTTCTCTCATGTACTTTTTTCGTTAGAAGGGCAATACATTGCCGGGTAGTTGTAGAGGATATCTAGCAACCCACTAATTCGGATGAATGTAGTGCTTTACACCGCTGTGTCGGGTTTCCCCTTGTAGTATTTGCGGTAGCAGGGAAGCGAGGCGCCGGCTGGGGGGGATACAAGGGAGGGGGAGAGAAGTGGTGGGTACGGGGGGTTTGTGGGAGGGAGGTAGTGCGACAGTTTTCCCATAATCTGAAGGACTTGTTCTGCTTCTGGTTGGCTACAATCACTCCTTACACTTTTCTTTTGATTGCTTCTAGCGTCGCAACAAAGAAAATGGTAGTCTGCAGGCTACAGACTTGAGAAAAATCAAAGTCCGGAGCACTGGGGAGCATTCTGGGACTCTCAATGTCAATCTGGATCAACTCCCGACCTTCACACTTGCCTGGAACACCCAGAAACACCAAAAACCCGATATTAGTCATCAAGGTTAGGTTAGGGTTTGCCTTGTTTCAGATTATTGCCTTGTTTGGACAGAAAAACTCTAGTGAGGTTGCCATGTGTAGTTGATTTGGGATGTGTAAATTAACAAGGGGTAAAATTCAAAAGTGGGTGGAATCACCTTAAATCAACGCAGTAGCCTCTCTGACACCTCCAAAATCGAATTCTGCTTTAAAATCCACCTCTAGACCTCTCCTCGCGCGTGTAGACCATTTTCTCTTTCATTTAAGCTCATTTTAGCTTTCGTAATGTCTCAACCTCCAATATGATAATCTGACTAATCGACGATAATCTGACTAATCGAATCTGACTAATCGGAAGGAAAAGAAAAAACAGAATAAGTCAAATAAAATCAGAACAAATCGGATAAAACCGGGAAAAAACAAATAAGACATCAGAAGACATGGAATCCGATTGTAAGAACCAATTGGCACCCCAATTATGACTTTTAGCCCTTTCTGAGGAAAACCGGATTTTCTGAAATAAATCGGAAAATCAAATAAAACCAAATAAAATCAAATAAAATCAAATAAAATCAGAAAAACGATTAAGACAGTAGAAAACAAGGAATCCGGATCCAACAGATTGTTAGAAACAGCCGACACCACACTTATCACCTTTCTTGAAAAAAGTCCACTCTGACGAAAACCGGATAAAATCAAACAGAACCCTTATAATAAATCAGAAAAATCAAATAAAATCAAATAAAACCAGATAAAATTGACGAAAGCATTAGAAATCCACCCACCAGTCCATCTCACCAAGGAACCAACAAATAACCTATAAAAACTGATCAAATTTCAAAAATTCACCACCACCCCAAACAACCCCCAACAGCCCCACGAAACTAAAGCC